AAAAAAAAAAAAATCTGCCTTTGTGCATTAAGTAACGTGCTACCAACAAAACAAGCACATAAGAGCCTGTACATGATGAAAACCTGTGTCCCTGGCAGACGAGGTCATCACTGAGGCTGCAGGGAGAGCCACGGGCACCCAGCAAAGTGTGGGAAGGCTGCATTGCCACTGAGAGCAGGTACACATGAGCCTTTAATGCATGTGCGAGCAAAACGCCAGAGGCTCCATTCATCCCTACTAACCAGCACCTTAGTGCAGCAATTTAAGGAACTAACATTAGTGTATGTGTGTGTACAATTTTCATGTAAAGTCTCATACTTAGAGCTCTATTTTTACAGAGAATGTACATAAAGCTACGTAAATAGCAAATCTAAGAAGTATCTTGGAAAATCAGTAAAAATTAATACAAATGTTATAATCTGAAAACGTGTAATTGTAAAATAATTTATTTAAGTATCGCAGAACCAATGAATACGAATCTGCAAAGTTTCCCCAAGAAACTCTGAAACCATAGTGCCTAATGCACTTTAAAATCGATACTAAAGGAGAGAGAAGAAAAGGACTGTTTGATTGGATACAGTCACCGCTGCGTCCCCATCCAGTCAGAAACAAAACTGAAGCTCCAGAATTGACCCGATGACGAGCATCTGCAGCTCTGCCTTCCAGGGTCTATCTCCTTTCACTGGCGCGCAGGAACTGCAGTAAAATGAAGACCCCCAGAGCGACTGTCCTTACCAGGACTCAGAACGTTTGGCCTCCGTATTCTGGCATCCATTTCTGGAGTCTGTCATATAAAGCAGCCTCCAACCGAGGTCCAGTGGAAGCTCCTGCATTTGGAGTCAGTCTCTGGAGAGGCAGAGCTTGGGCATGTGCTCTGGAAGAGGCTCGAGGAACTGTGATTATGCAGCAGCCCAGGGCTGTAACAATCTGTGTTTGTTCTCAAGGCTGAGTCCAGAGGTTCGAAGCCGTCCTTCCACCCCATGCACATTCTTCGTTTCAACAGCAGTGACGATGCCTCCAGGAAGTGCACTGTACTCTGGGCTTACAAATCCAAAACTGGCTTAAATCCTTGGATGGAGAGAAACTTCCAAATGAACAAAAAGTTGAGCTAAACATTGCAAAGTTTATTACTTAAAATTTTTCAGACATTTTACAAGTATCTAGGAACTCTTTGGATGTGCCCTGAAAGTGGTGTAAGCGAAAAATGACATTACTCTACTCCTGAGTTTCTTTCTGTTCTTCCCTTGACTTAGTCTGCTCAAAGTACGGATTCCAAGTTTCACGAAAAATGAAACCTTGCTATTAATACTTCAATAGGCATAACAATGAAATTGGAAAAGAGCTGAATTTTATTAACTTTTTAGGTATGTCGATTTTATGCTGAGAAATTCACCAGTACCATACTGGTGATATTTACTGAAGGTTGTTTAGAATCACAAAATGAATATTCTTTTATTTTAAAACCAAGCTGCATTTTAGAAAGATGTGAAGCGCAGAAGGAAATGCAGAGGTATAAATAAGGGGGAAGTATACTCAACGAAGGTTATATACAGATTAAAGTTTCTCATTATTTTGGTTTAAGTGGAAATTTCTGATGTCAAATAGACACAGCCTGTTTTTCATAAATTTCTCCCAGAAAACCTTTAAATTTAACAATTTGAAAAAAATGTTTTACTTTCGTCTGAACACAGACAATCTATTTTCATACACATAGTGCATGTGAACATATTTATATAGTAGATTGCATAACTACGAATTGTGTACAAATGGACCCATCTCGTATTTTTGCATGCACAGTTTCCGGTATTCTATCCTAGTGGATGGTTAACACAGAGTACAATTTCATAGATTTTATTCAGTAGACTTAAAGCCAAGAAACCATCCCAGTAATTATTTACAATTGAATAACTGAATGATTATCAGATCGTGTTATACTGCAAAACTGTTCTTACACCATGAATGGTGATGCTGTGAACTTTGGATGTTAAACTGGTAAAAGTTGGAGGCTTCAAATGGCATATGCAAAAGTAACCAAAGCCTGAGGACTATGAGGAAAGGAGGAGTTTCACCACTCGCCATTTATAGTTTTCATAAGCATTACAGAAGCACGGGGAATTAAGTGATCTTTGAAAAAAATGCTTTAAAAAACTGCGTATACATATAGCCTATAAGGCAAAAATCCAAGTTACAAGTGTATTAAACACTGGCAACTATGTTATCAGAGGTAATACTGAATTATATACATAAACTGTCATTAAACTGTGATTACGTGATACTTCCTACCATAGCTTATTAGACTGTACAACAGAAGATATTCCTGTGGCTCTCTAAGGCTCCAGGTTTAAAAGAATTTAGTATTTTCCTCTTGGCTCAAAGTCTAATCAGTATCATTCTGTAACATAAATCAGAAACTATGCTTTTTGCTTTTAGGGAAATAAGAAACATAACTGCAACCATTACAGCTCCAACACACACTGCAATGATGATATCTACAAACAGTTCCTATTGCATTTGAAAAATGCATTTTCTGAAGAAGCTTCACTTAGTACCAAGGATGCATTTCAGGTTGGCTTCTACATTCTGAATAAAGTATATAATGGGATTTAAGTAAATCTTTAGAAGTCCCAGAGTTTGCCTTTTCTAACATTTTCATATCAGGTGAAAACAATTTTTTCATATGGATGACTGTATTTACCAATATGAGAAAATGTCTACAGAAGAATGCGCTGTTCTATACGGCTCTAAGGAATCTGCATTTAACTGGAAACTACAGGGTCTATCAGAAAGTTAAATTTAAAAAAAGATCAGCCATAGCCAAGTTCTTTGTAGACTATGAAAAAAAATGGCACTGATAGGTCTAGGTTCTGAAGAGGAGCCAAGGTTGAAATGGAAATGCTTCTACATGGGACAGGAATGTCATGAGTCTGGAGTTCTCAGGTCTCTTGGTTGTAGAAGACGCCGTCTGTGCATCTCACAGTGCTTTCTGATGCCCATTTACAGAAGGCTTGGCTGTTTCTGAATCCCTTGAAGTATTTGATAAGTGAAGTTTATGAAGCCCTGCAAAAAAAATTAAGAAAATGGTGAGAAATGATATATTGTTGAGTGGCTGGGAAAGGGTTAGGGTAGGGAGAAGAGATTTACAAAGCTCAGTTTTACTTGGGAAGCTGTGAGGTGCTGGCCAGATCCCCCTGAGGAATGAAAGATTTCTTCTCCCTACTGGCAACTTCCCTCTGAGGATGGCCTCAGCTGAAGACAGCTGCAGGGAGGGAAGTCCTGCCCCTTCCAGGATAGCACGTGAGGGTCCTAAGAGCCTGCCCGCTTCTCCTCAGTTCAGTGGAGCTCTGAAGGGTCATCAAAGTCACAACATCCCCGAGGGCCAGCGGAGGCTTCTAGTGTGACTGCATCATGACACAATTCCTCTCTCTGCACAGCCCCTTCCTCTTCCCTTTCCCCAACCCGGCTAACAAACCTCTTCCTGGCAAGCGGATTCCCATCTAAAGTGTGCTTCTCAGGGAACCTAACCCGAGACAGACAGGTTCCCACTTTCATTTTAAAATACACGCACACAGGCTGGGCATGGTGGCTCACGTCTGTCATCCCAGCACTTCAGGAGGCTGAGGTGGAAGGATCGTTTGAGCTGAGGGGTTTGAGGCAGGCCTGGGCAACAATGTGAAACCCCATCTTCATGAAAAACACAAAAATTAGCTGGTTGCAGTGGCTCATGCCTATAACCCCAGCACTGTGGGAGGCTGAGACGGGAGAACCGCTTGAGCTCAGCAGGTTGTGGCTGCAGTGAGATGTGATCACACCACTGCACTCCAGCCTGGGTGACACAGTGAGACCCTGTCTCAAAACAATTTCAAATAAAGTAAAATAACACACCCACACACACATATGCAGGAAAATGTAGGGAAAGCCACACCAAAATATTAACATGTAATTAAAAAGAAAAGAATGGAAAACATTACCAAAAAAGAAAGAAATGACAAAAGAATAAATTGAACATAAATAATATCTCACTACTTAAAGGTATTTCACAGAATACAAAATTATCACTATCTTTTAAAGTTACATTTATTTCTCTCTGTATCATATAACAATTATTTACGTGATATATCTGACACCAGCACTGCACAGACCAACACTGCACTCTCAGAGGGAGAAGAAAACGTAAGAGCTTCTGTGGCACCAGAGCTTCAAGTACTTTAATAAAAACGAAAGACAATGACATACAGGAACACAGTCGGGTGTTGCTGAACAACAGGAATACACTCTGAGACATGGGTTGTCAACTGGTCACTGTGATACCATCACAGAGTATATCTACACACACCCAGGGGGCACAGCCCACAACATAGCTAGGCTGTAGGGTATGGCCTATTGCTCCTACGTTACAAACCAGACAGCATGTTACTGTACTGAGTACTGTAGGCAACTCTGGCACAATGGTAAATATTTGTGCATCTAAAAATATCTAAACCTAGAAAAGTGACACATTGTGCCAGGACATTACAACAGCTACCAGGTCACTAGGTGACAGAAACTGCTCAGCTCCACTGTCATCTCTGTGGTCTGTCACACGGGCAAGTGGTCCGTTACTGACCAAACGATCACTATGTGGCCTATGACCATACACAGCAGCACTTCCACAGAACAGATGTTGAGAAAATACTTATCATGAAGCTCAGACCTTTCTGGCATCTCAACAACTTACTTGGAAAAGACTTTTCTCCCTAAAATTTCACATGGTAACTGACCTATTAGGCAGTTTCACATCACTCATAAACTAATATCGCACTCCAAAATCTTTCTGTCACCTGCATATCTTAATGAAAGAAAAGGTAAAACTGAGCCTCTCTACGTCTGAATGGGAAGGAAAAAAAGAAATCAATCCAAGACAAAACATGGTCTGGTCCCAGGAATGACAATAGGAACCCACAGCTGTTGGAGTTGAGGAAGTGTGCTAAAATAAAGCTTGTTAGAGAAGGGACTGAGTGAAGACAGATGATCGATGCGGTATCCACCGACTAAGCTGAAATGAAGTCCCCCTTTTAGGATAGATTATTGGAGTTCACATCTAAAACGTGTGTCACGTCGGTTATGCGTTCTGGGAAACTCTTATGTCCCTCTTCTGCAGACAACTCCAGAAAACATCTCGTCCATTACCACCGTCACCAGCTAAATTTCTAGTGTTTACTATGTGCTAGATACTCTCTGAGATGGGTACTATTATTATCAATGGGTGGAGTAGCAGAGGGGAAAAAAAAAACTCTACAAAAAAAGAAAGAAAAAAAAAAGAAAGGGGCTAGCTACTTCACAACCAAATTACCAGTCTCAGTGAAATCCTTATTAAGATCTCAGATCATTCAAACATTACATATACTTAATAAGACTCTTTTTCTATGTATAAATTGCCCCTTAGAGCACCCCAAAGAATACTGAAAAACATTTGGGAAGAAAAGTAAATGTATCTATTAGGTAGTTTTATACAACTCTTGCTCATTCTACTCTCTCCTATGGTCAATGAACTGACATGCATATAAGGCCTTTTATATCAGGTTAAGTTATGTTTTATTACTTTAACAAAGGCTTTCTTAGCAAAATGATGTCCAGAATACCTAATTCAAAAGGTAAACTTACAACAGTCCATTTGCAACCATCTCATTTAGTGAATGGAAAGTGGAAATTTATCTGAGACCATGGCTAACTAATCTTGCTGATATTGTAACAGGCTTAAAAATTAAGTTTTAATGCTAGACATCTGATAAAAAGGACTGTTTGATTCCCACTTCAAGTTGGGCCAGCTTTATTAACCCTAAGCATTAAAAGGTATAACTTATCTGGCACGTCAGCTGAGATGAGCTGTGACTGTTTCCTGTCAGGCCAACATTTGATGAGCCGTCCCCTCCCGGGCATATGCAAAGTGAAAGACACATGGCCAGCTCATCTGAAATCTTCTGTGCCTCCCAAAGGTCACCCTCTCAAACATTAAGGTTGGAAAGGCCTGGTGATGTGAGAAGCTTTATTGCTGCTCATATAGTTTAAGTTATCTGAAAACTGGACCTTAATGAATCCATCAATATGTGGCCTTTTGCAATAGCTAAAAGCCCCAATATGGAGTCATACGCATTCGAATGATGTCAACTCAGGTGAATGAGCTAATGTCAGGAGTTTTAATAATATTCTATAAGAAGTCACTGCCTTTCCCTTCTTCTGTCATAAAATTACAACCCCGCCCCCCAAACCAAGATCATTTACTTTGTCCTGGCATTCTTAAAGTAAAAAACTTGACATGTTTAGCACTAATGTGGAAATAAGCATAAAAAATACATTCATAGGTTATGTTTGTACCCTTTAGCTAAACCTACCAGTTTTTAACACCATTACAATACATGTGACTTTTGGAATACATAATAGTAAATCCCCTCTCTTCTATTATATCAATGCCAAGAATGCTAACATTTTCACCTTGAATTTATTATTTGGCTTACTGAAGAGACTTATGGGTTAGCCTAATTCTTGTAAAATCCAAGCCTCAAAAAAGCTTTAACTAAAAGGTATTATTACCAAGGAATAAGCTTTTAACATCGTATCATCCTCACCACCACCATGACCACCATCGTCATAATAAAGGGGCTAATATTTACTGAGTTCTTACGATGTGCCAGGCACTATGCTAAGGATCTTATGAGAATTATTTCAGTTGATCTTCACAAAAACCCTAAAAGGAAGACGATACTATCACTGTATTACAGATAAGGAAGCTAAGGCTTAATGAAGTAATTTTGCACAAAGTAGCAGATCAATAACTTGACCTCTAAGGTTTTACAAATCTAGGAAACTAAATAGCTGAAAATGTAATATTAACTCAAATGTCGAACTTATTATTTAGTAGAAAGAGGAAAAAATACCCATAAACCTCAGGATTACCTAGGGCCTTGAAAAGTTCTTCTCGAACTGCAGAGGTGAATTTTCGGACCAGACACAATGTTGTCACAATAGCAAAAAGCAAATTGTAGGATAATACAATATAGAAATTTCCCAGCCAATTAAACCTTCCAAAGTCGCCAAGTAGATCAAATCTAGTGATTCCTGTTAAAAATAAATAAAATAGCCCTTAATGAAATCAGGTTAAGACAGTGCTAAAAGTAAAGTACAAGTTAGACAGAATTCTATGGACTTTCTCTCTTCTGTTACGTGAGATGCTGTAATGAATAAATCCTAGTTTAAAATATGTAACTATCATCTAGTGGGACAGCCTCAAGCCAGCCCTAACCTGCTTCACATACACGCCACAGTCACTTGCAAGTGATGAGTAATGAGGTCAGAATGAATGCCCTTTGACGTCCGATGGAAGTCACGCTTACATTAAAAATCAAGCTCTCGTGCTGCTTACATGGGTAGGATGGCTGACTGCATGCTCTACTGAGACAGGAAGGCTGTAACTGATCACAGGAAGCAAGAGTCACGATGAAAAAGATGCCTGAGAACATCCTTACGCCTCCTCTGCTGCTGCCCTCTGGAGGAACTGCCCGTCCCGTCTCTTTAGTTGGGTCTCTGGGCAAATGCCATCTCCTCAGAGAGGAAACCTCTGACTCCCCTATCTAAAACAGCTGGACCTTCCATGGCCTTCTATACTAATTATGACTCTTCACAGCACACATAAACTAATTTTTTTTTCTTTTTGGCTTATCTATTGCCTGTTTTCCCCGCTAGAATGCAGGTTCTGTAAGAACAGGAACTTTGTTTCACCCCTATAATCCCAGTGCCCAGAATAATGTCATACACACTTAATACATATTACATAAATGAATACATAATTTCCTTCCATAAAAAATTGTTAATCTGAGTTTAATGCTTATAGGTTTGTAGGGTAAAAAGCCAAAGCAGGAAATACAGTAGGATGACATCATGTATGCATTGAAGTTACTTAAATTCATCTATACACATTTTTAAAAGTCTTTTTACTTAAAAATAGTTTAAATAATCATTCTATTAAATGAGCACATGGCCGGGTCCAGTATTTATTGGAAAAAATACATGAATGGTAGGATTTTTCTGACCACTGATAGATAAATAAACATCACTCAGGCATTGGTCAAGTGACAGATACTGGGAATGTCAACATTCTTCAAGGAAGAAAGGATAGAGCTACTTGGGGGCCATATAAAATTTAAACTACAAAGAATGAGAAGAAATAATAACTGTCTATAAAATTGTATAAACAAAATTATGTACCTCATATTTTAAGGGTGATTTAAGGATTTTTATGGGTGATTTCAAGAATAACTTTGACTATACTCGGTTTTACATTTTCAGTTGACCTATGAACTGAACTCTCATCCTCACTCCAATGCAATGGCATCATCTACTACAGATAGCCTCTACAAAAGCGGCTTAGAGAGACAACAGAAAAACCAAATACAAACATTGTCATAAAAACAGGAGACTCCAAAGGAGCTCTTCTGTAGCCACTTCTTCCCAGGACAAATGTGTTTGAAATTGAAAGGCAATAATATACCAAAATATTTTTCAAAGGTAGACAATTAATGAAAACATACAATAAAATAGCTTTTTTAAAAAGGTTAATGCAGACACCAGCCTGTCACGCATGGTTATGAGAAGATGACAACAATCTTGGCTGCAGTTTCTCAGCTATTCATATTAATAAAACTTTACTTTGTTAAAGGGAATACATATCTAATTATAAGTTTTATTTTTCAAATAAAGCACCATTTCATTTAGCCTGGGAAGTGATCTTTAAACAAGATATAATCCTACCAAAACAAGCTTCAGTGGCTGCAACCCAGAGATCCCAGATAAGTAATTTTCTCATTAGGGCCAAAGACTCCTTTGAGAATCTGGTGAGAGCTATGAATCTTCTCAAAAGAAAAACCCACAGACACAGACACCCAAATTTTACACAGCACGAAGCTCACTGACGGAGGAAACGGGAGATCCCAGAATCAAACCCTTGTCCAGATGCTCTACATGAGTCTTAACTGCTCTTGAAATTTTTTTGATCATATACTACCATTAGTAAAAACAAAATTTGACCATCTATACCCCGTATATGTGTATTTAATTATTTATAAGCTACATATATACTATTCAATGACATATACAGACAAAACAAAGACTTTAAAAATCATAACAATAAATACAAATACAAATTCTAATAGTTTCTTCACATAGTCCGACAACTTACTTTATGAATGCATGGAAATGCACAAACTCCACTTTGGACACCACTGTAGATGCTCTGTGGTAGGTAATCCAACCCCCCCGGACACGGCCTGTGTCCTATGTTGTGACAGCACTACCACATAATGAGAAGTCAAGAAGCTGAATGCACCATCATGGTAAGAATGGAAGGTATGTTTTGAAAAACAGGAAAGTGCTTCACTAGAACTTCTTAGTGGATTCAACTTGGTTATCTTGAGACTCAGGGTCGAGACCTAATACGGAACATCTAGGCAAAGAACAGCCTCTATCATCAGATGTTTTGGTTTCCAGGCTATTTCAGGTTGACTTCATAAACAGAAACCCAGGAGCCTGTTGCTATAGTGCGCCGAATAACTAGATAAATATTACCTCAAAAAACTAGTTCCAAGACATCATCGTGTTGAATATTTTTAAAAATCTGATAGACTGACTAACAGATCACTCTGACCAACACATAGTTCTTCAATTCTGAAAATTTTCTATAAAGACTGGACCACAAGAAACTTTAAAAAAGAACTTATCTAAAATTCTGCCTGAGAGGTTTCTGGCATGACAATAGATTATAAAATGTACTTTTAAAATTAAAAGCACCAGGCGCGGTGGCTCACGCCTGTAATCCCAGCACTTTGGGAGGCCGAGGCGGGCGGATCATGAGGTCAGGTGATCGAGACCATCCTGGCTAACACGGTGAAACCCCGTCTCTACGAAAAATACAAAAAAATTAGCCGGGCCTGGTGGCGGGCACCTGTAGTCCCAGCTACTCAGGAGGCTGAGGCAGGAGAATGGCCTGAACCCAGGAGGTGGAGCTTGTAGTGAGCCAAGATCACACCACTGAACTCCAGCCTGGGTGAAAGAGCGAGACTCCATCTCAACAAAGAAAAAAAAAAATTAAAAGCACCAACAATTAAGAAAAAATGACAATACTCAGACAAAGCTTTAACAGCAATCATTTGACAAATATAAAAGATTTTAAAACCTCTATTTCTGTAAAAAAGTAAAAGTATTTTAAAAGCAAGCAAATTTTAAAATATTTTAAAATACTACTATTAGAAAGATTTAATTATCAAATGTTGTTGTTTAACTCTCTTAGTCAAATATCTAAATGCTTATGTCCATTTGGAAGTGCGTTCTGTTAAAAGATTAAGTAAAATATACACCAGGCAAGAAGCTTAGTAAGTTAAGCAGTGGCTAAGCATATGGTCACATTATCTAGATTATCTGTCAATAAAAAATATTCTTCATGACAAACTGCACATCAACTCCACCCATTAGAATTCCACTGAAAATATTTTATGCATAATTCCTTGAATAACAGTCCTTTTCTATTCATACCTATAAAAGAACATACAGAATAAAATCTCATTTAAGAAAGGGCTGGTTTCTCTACCTGCAATATGAGTCAATAGAATTTATGTTCTTTAGCCCACCTGAGTAAACTTCTACTTTGAGGAAGCCTATTCATCTTCCTAAAGCAGCAAAAAGTAGTTAAGAGAGTTTATAAAGCTTGACACATAAAGGGATCATTAATCTGACTTTATCAATAAATTATATATGTTAGCCTATTACACAAATGGCTGACATAAATATCCATGGTTTTAATGTAAGATTACCAGAAAGAACACGTACATCTTATTTTTAAAAATGCATAGATTAAATGTTCTTTGCTGAAATATTAGGATTAACATACTTTTTTCCTTCTGAACTCAAACAACGGTTAATTATACTATGTTTTCAAATCTCTTCCTCTAAACCAGATTTTTTGAAATAATATTAGCTAAGACAGTGTTGGGAAAAAAAAAGTGACAAAGAGTATGAAATAATGAAATCTACAATCATTTTAAAACAGGAATAATTTAAATAGGCTCATTGCCAATTGTTTTATTCATTCAAAAACAAAGTCATCGTGAAACGAAAGAGAGGCTCCACTTCTGGGGTGGAATGAAAGATGATGCTGCTGAAGCAAAGGCTCTACCTTTTTTTTGTTTTTTTGAGACAGAGTTTTGCGCTTGTTGCCCAGCAGTGCAGTGGCACAATCTTAGCTCACTGCAACCAAGCCCTCCTGGGTTCAAGCGATTTTCCTGCCTCAGCCTCCCAAGTAGTCGGGAACACAGGCGCCCACCACCATGCCAGGCTAATTTTTGTATTTTTAGTAGAGATGGGGTTTCACCATGTTAGTCAGGCTGGCCTCAAACTCCTGAACTCAGGTGATCCGCCCACCTGGGCCTCCCAAAGTGCTGGGATTACAGGCATGAGCCACTGTGCCCAGCTGGCTTTACCTTTGACCAGTCTTGCTGTGCAAGTATATTTTCAAGAAATTATATCAATTGGAGATATACTTATTGACTTCAGGTTCCAGCCTATATGGAGTAAAAGAGACCAGATTTTCCCTCTCAACTGAATAAACTGAAACACTGAACAAAGTATATGAAACAACAGTTTTCAAGACCCTAGACATCAGGAAACCAAGGACAGTGATCACTGACAGATGAGAAACAAACAAGGTGGGCCCTATGATTGCCACAGTTTACCATCTAAAGAGACACTGCAATGTAGAGAGAAGAGCTGAGGCGGGCTCCAGCCATCTCCCTAAGATCAAGAGATGAAGCTTGGAGCATAAGGATGACACAGTGGCCAGAGGGCTGCACAATGGAAGAACCCGGCAGAGAACTGACCAGTGTATGCTTGTGGGGAGCAGCTGGTCAAGAAATGAAGCAGGTGACAGAATGAGTAGCAAAGACATTACAACAGTTATTTTTAACTACATTCCTTATTTCAAAAGCTAGAGGAAAGATAAGACTTGCTAAGTAGAGATATTAAAGAAAATAGACTGAAATTGATCTTCTACAAAGGAAAATTATACTGTGGGA